GACCTTTATTCTGACGCTTGAGGAACAAATTCCGATCTCGAGATCAAACATCCCGAAGAGGCGGTTTACAAAGTACTCATTCCAGTCATCGAACTAACTCCGCCTTTCTTTCGATTTGCGTAAATTCTTGGCATTATTTGAGCCATCAAGGAGCAATTTACAACTATGAGACCAAACTTCCAAAAGGAAAAAACACATCAAACAAAGATAGCAAAGGAAGCTATTGATTCATGTGTTCTTTCTAGTCCCGCCCATATATTGATTGACACGGTGACGTTTGAGTCCTTCTTGGAACTATTTAAGTTCTAACGTCTTCTTCCACTAGTCATCGTTCACTGGAACCTTCAAAGGTATGGAACTGATCTTTGATAACTAGCTATTTGTTGGTAATGTCTTTGTCCCGTCTAGGGAGATATATTCCGCAAATCTGCTGCTGGAAATTAATCTAACAGTTTTTTTCTTTTTCTTCTTTCAAGGCACGTCAATTTTCACCTGCATTGCTTTCTACAAACTTGTAAGTACCTTTTAAACTTAAAATGACACCAAAAGTCCGTTATACCAAACGAGCACAGTTTTAGGGAAAAAACTCCACAACGAATGTAGTCTTGTTATAATAAGTGAAACAGATGCAGGTTAACTTTATTTGTCGTATTAAATTCTGATGAAGTATTTCTTACTCTTATGACTTGCATTGACTAAAAACCTAGTAAAATCTCATTTCGACTAGTTAGAAATTTTCAAAATAAGCGAGGAAGGTCTATAGATCAAAAACCCTTAGTTTGCTTATCGTCTTTCGTTATTTACGATATACATTCGTGTTTTATCACATTACTCATCAACAGCCGATTTCATTTTCGTTCCATCTTTTTGCCAGTTCGATCTTCGATGTTTTTCCGAGTTCCTTTTCGTTGCCGTTTCAGTTTCCTCGGTTACTACGCACGTCTTTGATTATCATTTTTATTTTAAATACATTTTGTAAAAGGCAAATTTGATCCTTCTTGGAACTCAATTTTTCTGCCGTTCACAAGCTAGAAGAAAGGTAGCAAGTAAAAACAGATCGAGCAGTTATTTAGAGCCTTGTCTTCTCAGTCAAAGCTAAAGCTGCGTACACTTGCAATCCTTTAGCAGTTTGGCGATTGTTAATACCGAACCGGAATGAAAAAACTGATGCGAACTGAAAATTGTGCTTTATCTTTCTGATCAACACTTCTTTTCATGGATTTCGTGACTATTTATCGCCATAACTCTGTGTTCAACTGCTGTAAGTTTCTTGAGCCTCGCAAATTCTGGTGTATAACTTATGTTTTCATATGTTGACCGCATTTGCTCCCGGAAAACTACATTTGATGCCACTATATTAATTTTATCATCATAGTATCATAGCGTTGAATGAACATGGGTAACAAGCTAACTGTGGTATACTGAGAACGCCGTTGACTAACGCTGACAGTGAGCGCTAACATATTGTACAGATCAGAAAGTTATTTCGAAAATACAATATCGAAATCGTTACTAACGGCGGTTGATTATCTATTTCTTTATTTTATCATATTAGAATCCGCTACAATGGGTTCTTTGAAAGGCGAAACCCTAACGCTCAAGAGCAGGGGACAAACGGTCACCGTCAACTGGAAGCAGGGCTCATTCGTTGGATTTGGTGGAGACAGAAGTCAAAACTATGTCCTGTGCGACTACACCACCGGCAACGGTAACAGTGTGCCAGTTTACATTCAGGGTGGATACGATATACCACAGAAGCTGAAAATAGATTCCAGGCTGCAGTATGGCACACAGGATAATGTCCTGTTCTTTGTGTACCATGACAAGAATCAGACACCATACCAAGAGCGATTCAGGTGCAATGCCCTACAGCAGTTCGTCTACGCAGCAAACACCGTTCTGAAAATGGCCAAAGGGATTGACATCTCCTGGGCGGTGGGAAACTATCTGGTCAACGTGTGAACGATCAACAAACTGTGTGTTTGACCCCTGAGAACCATCTTGGTTGGCTCAGTTAATATAGTTCGGTCATGCTAGGCGAGTACTGCCCAGTGCTAAACTCTTAAGACAAGAACTTCTGCCATAAAAAGGTTCCATCCCAGCTATTTTATGTTTTTGGGTAGTAGCATCAAATTTATGACAATCAAACACTTTCTAGTTGCTTTATAATGTGAATGACAATTTCCTCTCTCGCGAGCGGAAAACCTTGTTATAATCTTGACAAGAAGAAAGGAGATCTTGATCTTTCCTGGTTATGGAAAAATAGGTCCAACATTTATATGGTATCACAAAATTGAAATAGTGACAGCAGAGTAAAACAGAGCTTGCCATTTCAACTACACTAAGTACTTTCTAACTAGCTGGATTTTCAACTTTGATTTTGAGTTTACTTACTGTCAACTGTGAGATTTGAGAAATATTAATGTTTGCTTTCGTTATTTTAATTATTGACATTTTTAACTTTTGGCAGGGACAACTTTTTTGTGTGTGAAAGTTCTTATCATAAGCGGTTTTTCTTTGTGTGTGTCATAACTGGAAATTTGCCACTTTTTTTTAAATAAGATAGATTATGACTTGTAAGACTTTGTGCCAAAAATGCTCAGCGTTTTATCATCGCCTTCAAACAGGTAATACTTAGTAAAAAAAATAAAGCTGGAATTTACACTGTAATTTCCGTTTTCAGCGTGAGNAACGATCAACAAACTGTGTGTTTGACCCCTGAGAACCATCTTGGTTGGCTCAGTTAATATAGCTCGGTCAAGCTACGCGAGTACTGCCCAGTGCTAAACTCATAAGACAAGAACTTCTGCCATAAAAAGGTTCCATCCCAGCTCTTTTATGTTTTTGGGTAGTAGCATTAAAACTATGAAAATCAAACACTTTCTAGTTGCTTTATAATGTGAATGACAATTTCCTTTCTCGCGAGCGGAAAACCTTCTTATAATCTTGACGAGAAGAAAGGAGAAGAAAAATCCTGCTTATGGAAAAATAGGTTCAACAGTTATTTAGCATCATAAAATTGACATAGTGACAGTACAGTAAGACAGAGCTAGCCATTTCATCTACAGTAAATACTTTCTAACTAGCTGGATTTTCAAATTTGATTTTGAGTTTACTTACTGTCAACTGAAAGATCTGAGAAATATTCATGTTTGTTTTCGTTACTTTGGTTATCGACATTTTAAACTTTTGGCAGGGACAACTTTTTTGTGAGTGAAAGTTCTTATCATAAACGGTTTTTCTTTGTGTGTCATAACTGGAAATTTGCCACTTTTTTAAATAAGATAGATTATGACTTGTAAGACTTTGCGCCGAAAATACACAGTGTTTTATCATCGTCTTCAAATAGGTACTACTTCGTAAAAAAAATAAAGTTGGAATTGACGCTGTAATTTCCGTTTTCAGAGTGAGGCCTTTTAGATTAGGAAATGCTAATTACTGTTAAATTACTCCAAACGAGTTGAAACCATCTAATTTTAGTATATCATAGCTTTCCCTCTGTGCTGTGAATAAGAAGTAATTGCAGTTCTGCATGTATCCCAAGATTGATAAAACAACTGAAAAGTGTTGCTTAGACAAAGGTGATGTAGAATAAACGTAACGTTCATTGAACCATAAATAGAACAGTGTTGTGTTAAGCAATATTATAGACATGCTTTATGCCTCCGCAAAAAAGTTTAAAAAGTGTAACCTTGAAAGCGTTTCTTGGGAAAAACTAATTCAGTGCGGGGGGAGAGGGGACAGGGGGCAGGGGCCCGGGAGAATAGGGAGCGGGAGCGGTACGGGAGGCCGGAGGGGAAAGGGCGGGAAGCGGAATGGCGGAAATCAGGAAAGAAATGCGACGCGCTATTTTTTTTTCTTCTTTGTTTTCTTTTCTTTTTCTTTTTCATTTATTAAGTGATAAAATACGTTCAAAAACAAGATCCCAAAATGTTACTTGACTTGTGTTTAGCGTTCTCTGAGACTTCTGAGACAACGAACAAACGAAAATTCGCGCTTGGGTTGTGTCGCAAGCTGCCAAAAGAGGTGAGCAAGACGAACAGTCTGCGCCTCCGCACGTGACGAGCAAGACGAATAAGGCCGATTACAAATTATTTTAAAACAAAAGAAACAACTAACGATTGCGCAGCTAAATGACGTTATGAGTCTCCTTATGGGTCTCCCCTCTCCCTCCCCTTACCCCCCTCCCCCCCTACCCCGCACTTCATAGCATGATATAACCCAAGTATTCGGCCCGGGTCCATCTTATTAATGTTCATATTTTTTATTCATGAAATTATTTCTGTCAGCTAATGAAGTCAAGACGTTCAACACATCATTTATTGCTTTCTTTGTTGAAGTTTGCAGAAAAAGTTCTGAGGTCTTCTGTTCATCCTCTTTAACTCTTCTGCTCCGATTTTTCAAGACTGGCAGTACCAAGAAATCCAGAGGCAAATGCTAAACCATATTCTTTCTTGATGCCTGCACTTTGGGCGATCTGAATGCCCATCTGGGTTCTGCCTCGCGTATTCAGCCACTGCGTTGACGGCTCCCTGCAAGGCTCCACTTGGAATAGAGGCTGGATATTATCAATGCAGAAATGATAGAAATTACTGATGAAATCACACTTTGAATAAGTTTTATATGATCTGTTTAATTTTGGACGTTTCAAATTCCAGTCCATGGCGTCAAAAAGTACATCTACACTGGTACTAAAGCTGTAACGAAACTACAAAACTAAACCTCCCATATAGGTGCTAAATCTTGACTCCTAATTAACTTTTTACACCGGGCCATACTTTTAACCTAGTTATAAATTTACAATATAAAAGACCTTATCCTGTACGTAAATGTCAGCTTATTACACAGGGCGTAGACAGGCTAAAGCACAGCCCTCATACATTACTGCGTTACGGTGTTGAAGTGATATTAATAAGTAATAAATTTCCTTGAAGTAAAAAAGATAAAATTTTATTTTATTTTTCTTGGGAAAGTAATGTATGATGCCATAATGCGTGCGACTGCCACAAGATGTATACTCCGGCTGTGGTCTTAAACAACAGTTAATAATTACGCAGTTATACCAGAATAATACTTACTAATATCTCCGCAATGTTGTTGTTCTTCTAGTTTGTAATGTTCTTTCACCCAATCCGGAGCCTTTTGCCATTCCTGGTGAGAGTTGTGGAACCTGCCGGTTACTGAACCTATATTTTTCCGGATATGATTGCGTAAGAAGACTGTTTTATTCGAGTCCTAACTGAAGGGAATTCCCTGTAAATATCCCACGAATCAAAGTAAATAAGTCAGGTTATTTGACTTACCAAGGCCTTTAAAGATCTTTTCCATGGTGGCGATTTGACAGAAATTTGTGCAATTCTTTCACAGTCTAGATCAATACAGACGAACTACTCAATCCTGTACATAATATATATATGCTTATTACGTAAATGCTTGGCTTATTAAGAGGCTTATTAACCGTGGAATTCACATCCGTTCTAATACGAAACCATTATGATTTCATCCATTGCATAACGTAAATATTAGGGGTATAAAAGCTTTTTCCGCTTTGTGCGAGCTTCACTTTCTAAGAAACTGAACATCAATGGTTTTTATCAACTTGCAGCAAACACCTTAGGTACTCCTTCAATAGACAGTTAACGAACCTGTGAAACCTAATTTTCATGAACTGTACCTAACAAATTTAGTTGTTCGTTTTAATAGAGCTAATTCAAGTTTGCCAGGCATACAAATACAGAAACGAACATCTTAAACAGAGGTTATAGCTGATACCTTGTTCAGAGTTTCACCAACAAGAACGTACGTACAGGAAACGTGTGGAGAATCCACATTGATCACCAGATGTCTTGTTTATGTAGACATTTGTTACTCCGCTTACTATTTTGGGGTTCAACATCCTGTGTATTTAAACTTAACTGACCTGAACCTGGAACCTTATTACAGATATCGGCCGCTTACTAAATAACAGGAACATGTCCAATAAGAATTAGCCCACAAGCAGTGGAATTTCCATCCGGTCGTCGTAGTCGCAAGTCCGTTAACGACTTGAAAAAGCTATCAGCCACTGAGTGTGTTGTTGGCATCGGTAAAACGCGGTAGTTCGAAACATACTTCGTTCTTCGAGCCTCGTCAGTCGCTTTGTGAACTGTTGTTGCAAAACATCTGTTAGCTTATATTTCATGTGGCGTTTACAATGCAATCAAATCGATTTTTTAAATTCGGCTTTCTAAGACAGAACTACTTATCTCTTTCAAATGTGGACATAAAGCGACTTTATCTGTTTTCAAAACCCAGATGAAATATCAAATATATTTGCCTTTCGCTCGTATTTTGCATCAGGTATTCTTCGTGGCTAGCCAGCCCTAGTTCAAGGATTTGAACTCGCATGAGCGTCTTTGAAAAGAACTTTCACTTCCTTGCGGGTTACCAAGAAAGATAGATAAGTTTTTCATTGCCCTATTCTTCTCCTCCTACCGACCCTTCACCTCACGTAGTCTATCCCACCCCCTACCTCTCTATTCCCGTCAATCCTCCAGAAAGTTTTAAACCCATATCTGCCATCAGCTATGATCAAGTGGCTGATGAAAAATGACACCTTACTGAGCCAGTCACAAAGACTAGAAAAAGCGCTATTCACTGCTGCTCTCAAGTAATAAGGTAATTATCGCACTAATTACTTGCACTAAAATGACGATGCATTTCTTCCATTTTGCTACATCACGTCTGTTATCTGCCAGGGCATGCAACATGATCTGACCACCAGTGAATCACGAGATCAACCGTTGAACAAGGAATAAAAACAACCCAAAACAAAGACAACAAGAGGGTTATTCATCTCGTCTCAAACTATTTCCGCCCTCCATTTGAGTGACATTTGGTTCCTTCTCGGTTCGTTCTATTTTAAAAGGCACCACTTCCTCAGTGCTCCAAATCACTTGAAACACGCCGTTGAGCTTTAGGTTATTCTACAAGCGAAGCTAAGAAGTTGATCTCGGTGCTACAAGCTAGTGGTGAAGCCTCACATCCCTGTGTGCAAGCACTCGATTACGCTTCTTCTTTGATTTATTTGTTGTTTTATTGACGCTTTTGGAATAGAAAGAGATTTATTATGGCAGGAGCACAAGCTGGACTTGAGGTTCTTAACAAGGCGCTAGCAGTTGGGATGAATGGTCAGTACCTTAAACTCATTCTGGTGAAATTTACCTTTCTGAACTGAGGCCAATAGTAACAGCACCAAGCCATAAATCCTATAACGCCATTCAAGATATGGCGATAGTCCTATTGCATCAGTGTTCTCATGATGTCTCCTTGGTATACTTGTCACTAAGTAATTTGTTTCTTCGGTGAGTTAAAACTAACCTCCCGCTAAAGGAGGGACTCATAAAAGCGCTGTTCGAACAGTGTAAGAGCTAGCATCGACAGGCAGCCAGTTCTGGCAAGATCAATAACGTTACAGGTAGATCGTGTCAAATTAAAGAGATTGACCCTGTTTTACACACTGACTAGATTACTCTGGAAAAAAAGACAGGATTACTAAGTATTTGGAAAGCGGGCTATGCCCATGCACTTATAGAGTAGCTTAAAGTTGCTCTGATTCGCTAGTCTCGCTTTTTTTTACAGAGTAGCGTTCTCCTTTAGCACAATCAAATATGCCATAGGCAGAAAATTTATTCAGGGAAAGAGCACTAAAATCGCGACTGACATGAAAGGTGTTTGAAAGCTTTCCATATCGCTCACTATTTGAATATTTCACATTTCAGCTTTAGACAGCATTTCTGAACACTACTTTGAAAACGAGGCAATGATTGCCTGGTGGAATGACTGGAAAGCGAGAGACCAGAGGGCTAAAATCGAGAAAACTTAAAACCACGGTCGCTTTTCCAGGGAGAAACGTACTTTAGGTTTGTCATTGTTGATAAATAGATGTTAACCTCGTTTCATTCTCATTGTAACAATTATCCTTGTGTGTGAGTTCTCATCCTGTCCTTCCCTCATTTTGTCGCTGCATCCCTGTCTATCTTTTTTTCTCTGCATTTTCAGTTAAAACATGTAACAGTCCAATAATGTGACCAGGCTTGTTTAAAAGACAAACGATCACTAAAGCAATAAGTAACATTTTTGACGTAATTACCCATCAGATTCCGCGTGAAACAATAGCAATAGTAGAAGTCTGTGCGCAGGCTAAAAATTGCCAAAATCTTCAAAGACATTAGTGCCCTCAGATGATTTAAGTATGGAATTCCTCGATACTGCAATACTCAAAGTTACTCTTGCATTTTACTTTTGACAATAATGGCTATTATTTTCTCTTAAGGTATAGTCAATGGCAGAAGGTACTGTTGCTTTACTCAAGAAGGCTTGCGGGCCAAAGGACAGCCTCTTGACTAAAGGACTGAGGATTATAGAGTGTCGAAGATATTCCGTCCGCCAGTAGTTTCTCGATAGAGCTTTTACAGTTTTGATCATTTTTTTTTTCTAGTTTTCACCTACGTTAATTGTCATGTAAAATTTCAAAAGAGATGTACAATTTAGCTGTTCTTACGAGACATTAAGGCAAAATAGTCCTCCTCTTTTCATTCAGAAGTAAAGCGACCGCTTTTCCTCGTAGACTACAAATAAAAAGAAAGGGAGAACATCATTGTGTGTTTAATTGATCCAATAATTATTTAAGCATTTCAAATAAGTATTCCAATTTCATGTTATCCAAGGTGAACACAGAGAATGTTGTGAGCTTAAATAGTAAGAAAGACTTTTGTTCCTTATGAGCGAATACAAATTCCACATTGAGTGCACCACTTTAGATATTTGCCTAGATCACGAAAACGACAACGCAGTTTGCTCAGTACGGGAAGGGATATTCACTCAGAAACAACTGCCGCTTATACTATATTTTGAGAGCATTTTTTCTGAAGTGAATGCATTCTTTACTCAAACTCCTCGGCCAACTTTGAAATCTTGAATTTGAGGAAAAAAGAAATTCGGGATCATTTACTGCTTGGAATGATATAATTGAGTTGATAAACTTGGCCAATTAATTCAACGTGAGTAAGTTCCTAATGTAACAATCTAGAGGAATACATTTGTTTCTGAAACAGCGTAGAAAAACAATTCGACAACGTTTAGTGAGATATTTAAACATGGGTACGTTTTGCGAGGTGTTCTTAGAATTTCCGAAACNAAATCTTGAATTTGAGGAAAAAAGAAATTCGGGATCATTTACTGCTTGGAATGATATAATTGAGTTAATAAACTGGGCCAATTAATTCAACGTGAGTAATCATTAAGTTCCTAGTGTAACAATCTAGAGGAATACATTTGTTTCTGAAACAGCGTAGAAAAACAATTCGACAACGTTTAGTGAGATATTTAAACATGGGTAAGTTTTGTGAGGATCATTTACTTCTCGAAATGAAATAATTCAGTTAATAAACTTGGCCAACTAATTCAACGTGACCAGGTTCCGTGTGTAACAATCTAGAGGAATACATTTGTTTCTGAAACAGCGTAAAACAACAATTCGACAACTTTTGGTGAGATAATGATAGTTTTGTAGATACATTTCGGAGCAATGTACGTTGCTGTATCATTATCATCGTTTCATGGTTTATAAACTTTTGTAAGAGAAAATGATCTTGACTTTTGTAAATACTTAAAAGAATAGCGCCTATGTGATTCCTCAAGACATTTGATCACGTGGTCTCTAGGAGAGAGAGGTCTTGTTGTTTGACTTGTTTAATAGATAGTTGTTCAGATTGCAACTAGCATTTCATTGGTTAAGTAACCACGTGATGTTTTCGTTGCTCTACGTTTAAAAATTTTGCCATTAGGTTTAGGTCAGTAGTGAGAAAATTCCTAACGCGAATGGAATGAAGACGACTACTAATAATAAACATAAGAGGAAAAAAAACAACTCAAACAAAGACCCCAGATTGCTTTTAAAATCACGCCCTGAATTGCGCTCGAACGGATGGAATTGGTTACAGCTGATTTCATAGCAAATTCAAAAAATAAACTATTAATTTGGGATCGAGGAATAACTTTGAGTCAAGAGATCGGAAACAACAAGAACAGACTAATTCGTCTCTCCACTAGAAGCCAATCAATTACACTCTTTAGTGACGAAGTGACAGTTTAAAATTCTCTCTTGAGTTTATTTAATGTTGACTCTTTTAAAAGACCCCTCATTCATTCCTGATTGATTGAGACCGGGGCGGTACTCTGTAACTACGTTTACGTTTCCGAGTGAATGGAGGTGCATTTCTCTGAAAAGATGAGAAAATGACAATCAAAGTTGCTCTCCTTTAAGATCTGTAGTAGTTTTGGTGATTTGCTCTGCTAGGTTTAATACGGTCGCCGAGTTGCACAGAAAACGTCTGAGAAACAGTCGTCGGTCGCCGAATTACGCAGACGGTCGCCGAATTACACAGAAAACGTCTGAGAAACAACTCACATTGTCAAAATTAGTAATTGTTAACGTTGTGTGGAGCTCTGAACACCTGATAAACTTCCTTCGTGCATGCGCAAGATACTTTTATTACATGGCATTTTTGTATATTTGTGTCTTCATTTCTTTTCTTCCCGACACTGAATTTAAAAAAGCAGAAACTTTTGTAAACTAGAAAGACCCTCTAGAAAGAAATGTCAAGGGATTTTGCTTTGATTGCTTTGCCCACTGCAAGTGAATACGAATGTCATCCGAGTAGCTATATAGCTACGGCATGGCGAATGATGGGTTGACGATTGTGAGCGGCCGGAAAGCGCAAAGAGAGCTTTAACATAGTGTGGGATATAAGACATCAGTTCTTTAAGGCGTAAAATGCTTGTCTAATCTGATAGACCTTTGCAAAGTCGGTTTCATTCTTCGCAAACGTCTATATTCCTTGTAATCAATAATATATCAGCATTATTTTTCCGGTTTAACAGTAATGTAGAGTAGCAAAAGCAAGCAACTTTATATCAAAGACGAGTTTGATCATTAAATAAAATATTGCCGATTGATTCATGTTTTGTGATTCNCGTAGCTAAATGACGAGAATGTGTTATGAGTCTCCTTATGAGTCTCGTCTCTCCCTCCCCCTCCCCCCACCCCTACCCCGCACTTCATAGCATGATACAACCCAAGGATTCGGCCCGGGCCCGTCTTATTAAGGTTCATTTTTCTTTTATTCATGAAATTATTTCTGTCAAGTAATGAAGCCAAGAATTCAACACATTTCATCCATTGCTTTCTTTGGTAAAACTTGCAGGCAAACTTCTGAGGTATTCTGGTCATTCTCTTTAATTCTTCTGTTCCGATTTTTCAAAACGGGCAGTACCAAGAAATCCAGAGGCAAATGCCAAACCATATTCTTGCTTGATGCCTGCGGTTTGGGCGATCTTAATGCCCATCTGGGTGGCATCGGCAGGATTCTGCTTCGCGTATTCAGCCACTGCGTTGACGGCTCCCTGCAAGGCTCCACTTGGAATAGAGTCTAGATATTATAAATGGAGAAATGATAAGAAATTGCCGATGAAATCACACTTTGAATAAGTTTTATATGATCTGTTTAATTTTGGACATTTCAGATTCCAGTCCATGGCGTCAAAAAGTATCATCTACACTTGTACCAGTTGTAACGAAACTAAAAAACCAAACCTTCCATATAGGTGCTAAATTTTTAACCCTAACTTATCACACAGTGCCATATTTTCACCTGGTTATAAATTTACAATTTTTAAGACCTTGTCCTGTACGTAAATATCAGCTTATTACTCGGGGCGCAAACAGGCTGAAACACGGCCCTCATATACTACTGTGTTACGGCGTTGAAGTCATATTGATAAGCAATAAATTTCCTTGGAGTAAAAAAGATAAAATTTAAGTTTATTTTTCTCGGAAAGTAATCTATGACGCCACGATGCCTGCGACTGCCAAAAGATGCATATTCAGGCCGTGGTCAGTTTCAAGTCTAGAACGACAGCAATTATGCAGTAATACCAGAATAATACTCACTAATATCTCCGCAATGTTGTTGTTCTTCTATTTTGTAATGTTCTTTCACCCAATCCGGAGCCTTTTGCCATTCTTGGTGAGAATTGTAGAACCTGCCGGTTACTGAACCTGTATTATGTCGGATATGATTGCGTAAGAAGAATGTCTATTTTGGCCCTAACTGAAGTGAATTCCCTGTAAATATCGCACGAATCAAAGTAAATAAGTCAGGTTATTTGACTTACCAAGCCCTTTAAAGATCTTTTCCATGGTGGCGATTTTGACAGAAATTTGTCTGCTTCTTTCACAGCCTAGATCAATACAGACGACCTACTCAATCCTGTACAGAATATATATGCTTATTACGTAAATGCTTGGACCAACGAGAGAGGCTTATTAACTGTGGAATTTACATCCGTTCTTATACGAAACTATTATGATTTCATCCATTACATAGCGTAAATATCAGGGGTGTCAAAGTTTCTTCCGTTTTGTGCAAACTTCACTTTCTAAGAAACTGAAGAACAATAGTTTTTATCAACTTCCAGCTAACACCTTGAGTACACCTTCAATAGACAGTTAACAGAACCTGTGGAACCTAATTTTCATGAACTGTAACTAAAAATTTAGCTCTTCGTTTTAATAGGGCTAATTCAAGTTTGCCAGGCATACAAATACAGAACCGAACATCTTAAATAAATAAATAAGTAAATAAATAAATAAATAAATAAAGAGAGTTTGTAGCTGATAACTTGTTCAGAGTTTCACCAACAAGAACGTAGTGGAAACGTGTGGAGAATCTTGATGTATTATGCTAAAAGGATCAGCATTTTCATGATGACTCCGTGATCTGCGAAAGCATTTTGAAGAGGGTCATTTGCATCTAACTATAAGAACAAAAGTTCTGTTGTATTGTTGACGAAGTTCGTTACACTATTGATCACCAGGTGTCTTGTTTATGTAGAAATCAGTTATTCCGCTTACTATTTTGGGGTTCAACATCCTGTGTATTTAAACTTAACTTACCTGAACCTGGAACCTCAATACAGACACCGCCGCTTACTAAATAACAGGAACATGTCCAACTAGCCCACGAGCAGTGGAATTTCCATCCGGTCGTCATAGTGGCAAGTCCGTTAACGACTTGAA